AACTTACTGGTATTCCAAACATCTCATAATGAGAGTATTGCTTCACAAAACACTGAGCCCTTTCCTTGAATTTCTCTATTGCCTCCTTACTCCACCACATTCTCTTACGACCATTCTTATCATACTGACGACCTGAACAGGGCGTAATGAATTACATAACATTGGGTAAGAAAGTGTCATGTAACCTGATTCGATTGCAGATACAATTAAGTGCAGAGTGGTAGCTATATTACTGCATGGCTAAATTCTACGACAAGTGCAATACCAATATTCTCAAATCCACGAGTAAGTTCAGTTGGGGAGTTTAGATAGCTGTTGTAGGATGCACGGGTAGTGAAGTGCTCACCATTATTGTCAAATCCGTGAGTAAATTCGTGTCCCAATACCATCCCCAGAGCACCGTACTGAACCGACCTATATACAAACATCAGCGTACAACATAAAATAATTTGACCAAGCATTTCCTTACAGTGGCCACTCATCACTAAAAGACGGAGTCCGCATTATAGCCTCAAGAATTGCTGTAAGGTATATACAAATCTATCACCTATTGCACGTGTCTCATGAAATTGACTCCTTACATATTTGATTGAAGACTGCTATGTAATAGGCGTTTACTGTAGTAGGGGAATCCAGCCACCTGCAAAGAGAAAAATTTACAAAAAACTAGATTTATGTGATTCTTTACATACATGTTTCTGTCAAGAGGCTTGTAGATGAGTGAGAACTGCTGGCGTACAGAGATGTTGATGAACTCCAAGAAGTTTTCAACATACTGGTCCTTGTTAAACTTGTACTGTAAGAATTTTTTTAGTAGCACAAGAGCTTTATTCCAGTGGAAATTACCATGCCGTAGAGCATATTCAGAAAGCTGTCATTGAATGTCATATTTGGGTATGCAACTCTTGACTGAATGGCCTCCAGCTGCAGAATTGAAAAAAAACTTTCACTACTGCACTCTAAATTGTTAATGCAGAGGTCACCTTCTCAATGGACAGTTTCCTGGTCTCATCATCCAGCCAGTCAACATCCATCATCCTCTGTTTGAGACCTGCCCTTACTCCAGCCACCAGCTCAACACCAGCCTTCTGCAGTAGGCAACACCTCAGTAGCACAATCCTACAATGTACTTTATCAAGCAGCTTATAGCTGCACAACTCCATAACGTTGCGCGGAATAATACACTTGCAAACCAGATAAAACACACACACACACTAGGGGTCTGCACATTATTCCTTCCCCCCCCCAATTATTCTATTCCTGAATTCTATTCTTTTCTCCCAATTATTTCTTAGGAAACTGCCTATTATTCTTCTCCTGGCCGGAAGACCGCCTTTCACCGAGGAGGGTTAGCAGTCGGGTTAGCATCAATCTTGCGTTTTCTGCACGCAGGTCTGAAACCGTGGGAGATCGAAGTCGGGCCAAGAGAGACGAACACGATGAACGCTCGGAGTCACTAGAAGTAGAAGTAGACGCAATGGCACTCTCTGATGATCGCAATCCGCTCGATCACTCACACAAGTTACTGCCAGTAGTCGCCGCCTATGCGCGCTGCTTAGTCATCGTGCGGTTCGCGCCGTGCGCGTACATGGCTCCGCCCCCTTTCTGCAATAATTTAGCCACATAATTCTTCTGCTTTTCGAATGGCAAAAATTCCTGAAGAAATTCCCAAATAATGTGCGTACCCCTAACACACACGTACTCAACTGACTTTGAAACCATCAGGGAGAAGGTATTGAGCATAGACTCTACCCAGAGCCAACGGGAGCACTTGTTCCACAATTTGGACACACTCTTGTTGCTCGTCCATGGATGGTTTCCCCAGTACCAGCTGTCTGAAGAGAATCAGACTCTCTCTGATGGTGGCGTCTGGGACAAAGATCTCAGCCAACTGCCACGTCATGCTCCACTTGGCATAGTTCTCCAGAGTTCTACAGGGTGGCGGGGATGTACATTTTACTAGCTTGAAGAGTTTAAGTCACCTCATTGGTACGGAAAATTTAGGCACCCTATTCTAAACAAAGGCCTGACTGTCACAACTCAAACTCCCAACATACTTATCGTCAGTGTTCTCCACTAGTTCAGTCAACCGCCTGAAGTAATTGGGAGTTTCCACAGTCACATTAGAAGAGAGTTTGACGTCTACTCCTGATGGTCCAAGAACTCCCTTTAACACTCCTAGCCAGTCATGCTATATTATAGAGAAGATTTGACATTGGACACTGTATAATATCAGCGATAGAAACGTACGTTTGGCCACAGTTTGTAGAGCTCTTTAACTGTGTAGGTATTGTTTGTATCATCTTCAGCGTCTTCCCAAATCTGAACAAAACATTGCCACAAACCCATTCACAGATAAACACGGTCCAATTCCAAATGTGCTTATAATTATGCCATGAAACTGACGCATTTTACGTCCGCTCCGCTTGTATTGTTCTATTTCTTCTCCGTTAAAATCAGTCCAAGTTTACAGATGATAGCTACTCACGTACTTGTGCCAGGGCATATTCAAATTCCAAAATCTGGTACAACGACCCACTAGACCCATTAGACCCATTAGGAATAGGGCCCTGAGCCAGTTCTGTCAGAATTATCTCCATCTCATATAGCAACATTTCCGTCTAAAGTATATACAAAACATTGCAGTATGCATTATAACAATCATCGAGAAAGAGATAACTCACTGAGTTGGTGTCATTGTACATTTCTGGATCTTCAAGACTTAGTCCAGCTTGCTCGATCTGTGCAGAGAAGAAAATCGTAACTTTGTAGGTTCACGGGCAGTATCGTAACAACTGATCAATAGTAGTCGTAAGAAGTACACTATATACACACTAGAAATGTTTTATAGTACAAGAGAATGAGGAAGTAAAAAGATGACGTCATACAATGATTAATATCAAGGACCAGTAATGTATATACACAGGTAAGATAGAGTTTCTTTACTCACAACCAATGAATACTGGCGAGCATCTTCATCAAACCCGACACTGAGACTGTAGAATGCGTCGCTCCCTGTCATTTTCTCTCTAATGAACTGGGAGCTGTTGACACTCCACACCGTTCCATCGCCAGGTATATTCACCAAACTCCACCCACCTGTACGTATAATAAGATATTCTGGCATGGGTTAAATTGTCATTAATGCCATATTATTATTAAAAAACACTCTATCACTCACAGGTCAAGCCGTAACTACGCACACTCATGAATAGCGGTCTTCAGCATGCAAAAATCTGATTTCATTATGTCACACACGAGGTAATCACTGTAGGAGTATGTACCAAGCTCTTGGTAAAACTTTCTAATGATGGGCACAAGACGATCGACAAATTCCGTCTCATTCATCATCTGAGCGGCGATGCAGGAGTTGTAGAAGCTTGACAACTGAGTCAGGACCTTGTTCCCTCCCGTGAAATTTGTCTCCAGAACCTTAGCCAAGTCACTGTACACAGCATACTGCTGCTGTTTCTAGTGCTCCTGTCCCATACAGACCTGTAGATGAATTGGAACAGTGAGTACAAAACCAATGGCTGACCGCTCAGTAGAGGTATAACGGAAATTTACATAACTAACATAACATTTTCATAGGCAGTTGCATTCCTTATTAGTGGTGGGTGGCCTGGGTCATATGACCCCTTCTTGAACATTAGGGTATATATTATGCTGCCAGACCATAGACACTCATAACTCACTCACAACTCACTAGCGGCTAATTCTATTATTATTCCCTTGATTTTCAGTGTAGCTATACACTGTAGCTTGCTAGCATTTCGCTTAACAAAAAATTGCATGAGGATTTCAAAGGACAGTGTGAAGTTCTCTGAACAAGGAGGATTTCGAAGGGTTATTGCTGTGTGTGTGTGTGTGTGTGTGTGTGTGTGTCCGTCCGTCCGTGTGTCCGTCTGTCCACCGTTTTTCTCGGTAACCTCAGCAACTCTGAGCGTGAAACGTGGACATATTTTCAACTAGGAGGAATGCATGGTAAAATAATATTCTGGAGCGGAGAAGCCCCGGGGAAGCTGGTGAAACGGACGGCTGCCGAGGTGGGTGTGCGTCAATTAGAGATCGCGAACCATCGTTGGGTTGTATAATACTTAGATGCTAGTTGCTTTGCGTGTGTGGAGAAGATTTGCTGGTCTGGCTGTATTGATGGTACAGTTGAGTAGGATCGAGATTGCCTGAGAGCAGCACACGCCCCAGTGAATCCGTTCAGTGAAGGAGTCACTGAGGTAGCGTAGCTATATAGTATGTAGCTGAATAGTGGTGAGGGTTGTCAAGATCAGTGCTTTTCACTTTGCTGTAGCTAGTAGTAACTAGTATTTAAACGTGCATGTGGCAAAAACTGACGTAGTGTAGCTAGTAGCCATTGGCTGCTGAAATAAAGAATAAAGTGGCGAGGGTTATGCACTTTCAAGTGCTTTTCATTATTATTTTTTCTTATACAGCCGGGTATTTCTAACTGTGCATGCACATGCGTAGTTTGGAGTTGGGCATCTTTAGTGGTTTAATTACCCCGGTCTGCTCCTACATAGAGTGAGAGTATACTGTGCCATAGCACAGTGGTTGGAGGTTTGCCTTGTGTTGTATTGTGTTAAAGATTCGGACCCCTACCAACTGAGTTGCCCTGGTAGCTCAGTTGGTAGAGTGCTCGCCTAGACTGCAGAGTGTCGTGGGTTCAAATCCCATCCAGGGCAGCTCTTCATCTTTTCCTTGAAAAGAAAGAGGTGTCCTGGGTGCAGTTGACTTGTTTGCTTTGCCTTGTCTTTCTACCTCACTGCCTAGTTGTTGAGACATGCAATGAGTCATCTGAGAATATTCTTGAAGCGGAGTGAACATTGCAGGTGCAATTTTAGCAGGCTTCTTATTATGCACTCACTCTTGCTTGCCAAAAATTCCCTGCATTAACTTTCAATACTCTGTTTAACCAATATATTTCAGAACTCTGTAAAACAAACTTTAAACTGTACCAGCTACCAGGCCGGCATTCCAAAAACATGCTGGAGGAACACCTCAAAACCTAAAAACCGGTGGATCAGGTAGTAGCAGTATAGTATTTGTGGCAAGAAAAGCCAGGGTTGTGCTCTGCTTCTAGGAATGTGTATATAATCACTGCATAATACTATGCCCCTTCCCACAACTTGCCAGGCTGTGCAACCTCAGGTAAACTCCCAGTGCCCTACAGACACCCCTATAGGTATATAGTGCATTTTGCTATAGGTAGTGGAAGTTAGCTGCATTATGCAGAACTGAATCAATGTGCACCAATACAGCTCATACATTCAACATGCCCCCTCTCACAACTGTTTCTATAGTTCGTGTTCTGTAGGCGAAAGGTAGTGAAGGTGAAAGGTAGTGAAGTTGCTATAGGTAGTGAGCAATTTGCTTGACCTGAATGTGCACTAATGCACCTCATCACACTAACAAAGGGCATGCATGTGGCGAGTTACCTTCAGGGATGTGGTTGAAGGCGGGCCAGTTACCACAGGTAAAGTTGTAGAAGTCCTCGCAGGGATCAATGCTCTCGTCCATGGCCCCCTTGATCTGCACTGCCAGATCCAGGCAAGCCTCACTCACACACACATTAGATGTGGGGGTAGGAGGAGGAAAGGGAGATGTTGATGCTGAAGAAGAAGATGTGTTGAGCGCGTACAGCACCACAAAGACCACAAAGAGTACTGTTGCTGCAAACAGGAGGACCAACAGTATGGCAATGCATATTCTTGGCAGAATCGATCTTTTCGGGCGATAGATGCCGAGGTCAGGTTCAGCCCCATCCGTATCGTCTGCCCTCGACGGCATCACGCTGTAGCCAGTCTTCATCCTGTAGACAATGTGCACAATGACATAAGCCACCTTCTCTGGACCGTCGCTAGCACATGCATGCACACGGCTGAATTGCAACTAGTCCTGCGGCTTACGTTTTTCCCGCTCTATATAGTGGTTTCTGCAGAATGGGGAAGCTATTATACTGAAGCTCTCTCGCTCAGCTCGCTCCTGCTGCTCTATCTTTCAAGCATGTGCGCTCGATAAGCGCTTATGCGGAGGGGGCGCGGTTCATAGAGGCGCTTACACGTAATCCGCGCAGATACACACAACGGACGAGATGCCGACTATCCTTTGCCACCCTGCGCTCAGCCATTATGTGTGTTCGAGGCAGCAGGTCCTCCCGCCACCGCCCAATACGTGTACCGGACATAACCCTCGCAACAGCTGAGGGCCATGTCCCAACAACTGAGTACCTCTGAACCCTACGAGAACTTCTAGACCTATCTACTTTATTCCATTGGTTTATTATTATTAGTGCAAAAAAACCAAACAAATGAAAAGCACTAAAGTGCAAACCCTCGGCGAAGTAGCTCGCAGAGAGTCTGACATGGGCCAGCTACAGTAGTAGATAGCACGCGAGAGTCGATACACGCCATTCGTTGTGGCCTTGAAGATAGAAGGAGCAAGCGGACCCGGTCCTTTGCTAAATATAAGCGCATGCGCATTATCCGCCAGCGATAAAATGGCGACTACCGGCATTAGCCATACAATGTGGAAGCGCTCTAGCTTTACAACGGAGCATTTTCAGAGAAAACCGTTCGAAATTTCTGACCTTCATTGCCCGTTAAGTAGGTCGTATCGTTTGTGAGACGAACAGACATTCGAGAAGTGAGATTGAGAGTAACAGACAGACACACACACAGACTAGACAGACCCAAGTACTGTAACCCTCGCTGCGCATGCTTGTAAAAGAGCATAATAGAGAATGGAGAAATTTGGTGTTGTTATATCAATGAGAGTAGGAAAGTAAGATAGCAGGTAGAATGGTGAGAGCAAAGGCAGCATACGAAGCTTTACTAGTCCCTCGTGCACTGGATCTCTGTCCTGTGGAACTACTGGTGACTTCTTCCTGCAACAAAAGAGTCACAACCAGTTCCAGAGTGGCTTCAGCAGTGGTATTATAATTATAGCTAAGCTAACTGCCCTAATTGGCAAATTGGGCAGACATTTGCAAATTGGGTTGACTACTTTCATGCACAGTGCTTCCTAAAGTGCACAGGTGTTCCTAAAGACCTCTGAGTGTGCATGTCCCAGATTCCCCCACTTGCTTCTCATCGCCTGCCTAGAGACCTTTTAGCTCTATAATGCGCATACATGATACATTGGGAAGCTTGATTGGGGGAAAACAAATTATACAGTCTACATTATAGTATATACTGCATGTGTAGGATTTTACTTTGGCTCAGGGCTCTTCACCCTCTGTAGATCCAACGCAACTGAACAGTTAACTCATACAACTCTTGCAAATATATGTTGCAGTGCCCAAACAGGACAGCATGAGCCCTGTAAAGGCGAATGCTGTCCTGTCTGGGTACTGCAACAGATTTGTTGGATATCCCTAGGCAAACGACATGTATGAACCCTGCTTGCACATGTAGGATTGTATAGGCTGATACAATCCCCCCTAGTACCTAGCTTCATACATGTCGGTTGCCTAGGGCTATCCAACAAGGTGTCTAATATATACATCCTGTCGGTTTTACCCTTTTCCTGTATGCAAGCTACTCTACACTAGTAGGTGAGAGGAAGAGGCCCTTATAGTTGAACATCAGTTTTCTGTATTAACCACAAAGGTGTAAGAACAAAACCACCCAGTTCCTGTCAGGACAAGTGTAGCTAGCTACTAGATTGTTGTACTATAATATTATGAAGAAGTCAAAAAGTTTTGGGAAAATAGAAGTTATAGGATGGAAACCTTTTGTTGTTTATGCGTTAGTATTCCTAGAATTTCGTACTATTGGTGATGCATGGTAGCTATAGCAACCTTTTGTATATAAAAATAATATTCTTGTGCACTTGTGCACCTGAATGGAGAGCATTAACATGTTTCGTGTGGGGAATGGCCCCAACAACTTTCTATATATGCAATGTGTATGTATAATAATCCCCTTTATAGCTACCTAGCTTTTACCCCTAAGTGTGAAAGGTCACCTTTTTTTGCTGTGGGAAAATTGCCCGTCAACCCACTATACAGTACATTGTACCCTTTCAGTGGGTTTATGTAAGTGCAGAGCCGCTGCGAAGGTGACTCACAGTAGCTTTTGGTTCATTGCATTCGACTGCCACTAAGTCAGCCGCTAAATCACTGTCATTGTTGCTGTTGCATTTGACACTGTGAGCCAGGGCGCATTTTTCCACACTCTCTTCGAAACCAGCGCACAGGTAGGGGAACGGAGTGAAGAATGGAGGAATATCAGCAAGGGTCACGTTGAACCTGCAAATGCAGATAGGATAGCCTAGGTAGATGTGTGTGCGATGGCTCAGATAAACGTGTCATTGCTTGATCCCAGCACAGAAAGCAAGTTGACTCACATTGTGTGACATGCCCACGCATAAACATTATTTTATGGTGTGCATGCTTTATTGCAGAGTAGCGCGCAGGGCTTGGAACATTTTCATTGTTCTTGGCTCGTAACCCATGTTCATAACCTGTTTTTCTTATGGCATACTATGCATTGGGTAACCAACAACAAAATTCGTGACTCAAAAACTTAGTCTTATATGAAGTAACAAGGGCAGAATTGCTTGAAACTGTCAGTACTAACTAACCTGCTTATGTGAACCCTCTGTGGGCTACCTTGACCACTGCTGTCACAGCCCAACTGTCGACACACGACCTCTGCCTCCTTGTGGCCAAACTCGTTGCTGCAGGCATTCATCCACATCATAACCTGAGGCCCTAATTCCCCGCTCCCACCACTCCCAAACTCAATCATTTCGTCGGTCCCAGTTGTGGATAGCTTTTGGAGTAGTCCCCGACAACCTTCATCTAACCGAACCTCTTAACAAAGAAACAATATTGGGTCTTGATGGATTGTAGATCTCCATGGTGTATTTGCTAGTACTAATACTATTCTGTGCATTAGCTCCATGAGTTCACCATTTGAAACTTTTTAGTCAACATGCCATTACCAGTATTTTAAGCACTGTTTCAGTTGGGTAGTTAGATTAACACAAGATTTTCTTTGAGTTACCAATTTTGTCAGGTAATTAGGGGGAACGTGCCCAGATTGCAAGCTCTGTTGGCTTCTAGAATCTGCGGTGTTTGCCAACATTGTCATGCAACAAACCTTCGTGAGGGTCCATATTATTACGGCCGCCCAAAGTACTGCCACTGAGGAGAACAACAGGAACAAACTGAAGCAGGTAGCTGGTGTATTTCATCCTCCTTCACTTGAATCTATTCTATGTGCTCTCGCGAAGCTTCTATTTACCGTTGTATAACTAGTATATAGTATGTCAGGCGTGTTTATGCGGGTATTATATATGATAGGGGATGGACCTTCCCTAATTGGCTGATGTATGTCTGCTTGGCTACTTAGTATAGTGACTATAGATAGGCTATGCCAACAGTTACTAGCTGCTTTTGGCAACAAGATCGCATTCTTTTGATGTTTGTGTGGGCTCATTGGAGGAGAGTGAAGATTCCAATTGGGGAAGTGAGAGCCCACTCTATATATACAAGCCGTATCAAAACAATGCAAGTGTGACCACACAGACTAAGCTACATTACTGAGCACCAGCCACGCTGTCTCACCCACACCCCTGCTGCACACCTGTCACTTGCTCCTGACTTACATAGCCACATGTTATGTTATTCTGTTCCCCTGTATATATCACTCACCCCTTACACTCACTATAAAAGCACCTTGCTAAATTCATGCACGTGTGTGCTTGACCCGATATCAGGATTGCTATACCTATATCTGAGAACTGCTGACGGCGCAGAAGGCACTATAATAATATACAGCATAATATATAGCCGTTTGTGAGAGACCATGCATCCTTGTCAGTCAAGAGGTGCGATTCTCAGCATGAGACAAGTAATGCAAAGGTGTTGTCCTCTCTGACAGATCCTCGGTTATTGAGTTGTGACAGAAATTTTAGTGCAAACTTGAGGTAGTGTGACACCTCATAGTCGTAGGTCACTTGTTCGTATATATTGTAGCTCCTAGCCACTTTTCCTGACCTTGGTATCATACAGCTCATCACATCATGAGGCGTGTGGTCAATACAGCGAAATGCTGGCTTGCACAATCAACTTCCGCACGTGAGCAAGTGAGCTGTTAGCCAAGAACCATTTTTGCCTGTGCAGAAATGCTAGTGTTTTTAAACCTGTAAGCAAACGCTCTACTTACAACTCCTTTTGAATTGTCTGTGCCAGGTTAATTGTAGCTGCCAGTGAAGATTAAGGTAGTTGCAAAGCACATCTGCGCAAGCACCCTCGGCGCGCATGCGCAGCGAGGGCTAGCTAGCTAGCTAAGATGTGTCTGTATGTCTGGTGTCCGTTCCCGTTTTCTGCCACTAGGCGCAACAAGATCGGCAAAAGTCTACACCAACGGGTTCGGCGCTACATTTGCTTGATTTTAAACTGGCGAATTTCATAAAAACACTGCGTTCAAAAGTTATGGCCAAGTGAACAAGCCAATTGCAAATTAGCACAGGCTTATATACCTCAACAAGATGTGCTTGCTCTGCGTACCTTGGAGGCTCAAGTAGTCTCAACTCAGGACGTGTATATAATTATAATTAAATCCCGCACGCTTTCTACTACCGTAGTCTGTGTCAGACTCTACGCGAGCTAAAGACCACGAGTAAGCGCATACTACGGCCCAGCCAATCAATTAGCGGTATCGCGCAAGCGCAGTTCGCCGAGGGTTTGCACTTCAGTGATTTTTTAGTGCGCCCAACTAGCACAAAAACACCATTATACTTTTCTCAGTCATAACATCATCATCACTAGCATACTACAAATGTTATGATGTTGGTTGGCAGTTCACCAGAGAACACATTTCTTGGGAGGATTCATAGGAGATCCACTTGGACATTTGAATGCCTCGGAGAATAGTTCATTGTTTGACAGAGTCCCAATGATCCTGCACACACAATTGAAAACAGAATAAAGTTGGAAAAGGGCAGTAATGTAATTGTGTAACGATTTCTCTTTTTCTGGGAGTTGGAGGTAAGATGACACCCACGCAATGACGATATGACGGAAGACAGATATGAAACAAAACAAAAGTCTAGTGAATAATACTAAGGTGGAAGAAGGGTGTCTGAATAAAGGACCACGAAAATTGTCCTTGTACAGTACAAAATTGTACAAGGACCTTGTATATACAATAGAAACAAGTGCCTCTTTCACAGAGGTGTCTTTATTTTGAGAAAACGTCCCGCTCTGTGTGAACCAGAGTTTACCAAGAAAAGAGCTAACCTGAACGGTCCTGGAGAGTGCTCATCAGTTAGCACAGAAATCAAGAAGGAGAGGTAAGTGGAATACGAACACCAAAGCTACAAAACAATAGAGAGAGTGGATAGATTTTTGACGGGTGGCATAAAGCTTTATCTACCTGTGAAAATCCAATGAAGAACAGTTGGTCATCAGAGTAATCAGTCAGTCCCGGCAGTTTTTCGCTCTTATGTGAAACTTTCTTAAATGCCTGTCAATGAACATCTCGACTGTTAGCAGTCTGCGTATACAGGAAAAAAATTGCCCTTACATCATAGCTTGCTCTGATTCCACCATTATCTGCAATATTTTCTCCAAGTGTTTGATTTCCGTTGACCTAGTATAAAGATGCATTATTATACCTGTGTGCTATGTATACA